AGCACGTGGCAACATTTAAAACTAGAACACTGGGCGAGGCACCCAGAGAGTGAGTGCAGATAGGAAAGGAGAGTTTCAAGGACTCTGGGGCCACGAGGCCCTCCAGCACGAGGACAGCAGGGAGAATGCAGCCTAGGACAGGAAACTGACGGGGACAGTGAAGCAGGAGGCAAGTTACAAGGGCACCAGGTTCTGGAGACCAAGTGAAGAAAGTGTTTTGAGCAGAGGGATGGGGTGATCTTCTTGTAAAGTGTTGCTTGTGGATGCAGCTGAGGTAAGAAAAGCTTTAAGAACTGAATGGGGTTCGTCCCTTTTCTCTGCCTCTGTGTTATGACAGGTTCTACAGCGATGCTTTGGATCTCCCACTTCAAAGGAATGACAGTGGCCAAAGAAATTGCGAATCGTGTGGTGGTCACTAGGTGTTCGCAAATGTTTCTCCAGTTCCGGGCACACGGTAGGAGTGCCACTCTTAGGTTTGGGCCCGTTATTTGCCCGAGCCAGTAGAAATACAAGGTCAGTCACGTTCATCCCTTCCTGGCCGGAGCATTAAGAGCCAGTGAGCAGGCTGTCCCACGTTCTTGGCCACGGGCAGTTCTGGAAGCATGTGTTGGGATGAAGCCTCTATCAGCCAGGCTCTGAGGTACTGCCGTGGGCAGAACCCCCTTGCTGACCCTGGACAGGCATCTGCTATGAGAAACAGACTTCAGTGTTGTTAGTTTTATCTTGGGATAGCAAAACCCAACCTACCCTGACACTGTGCCTAAGGACAGCAGTAAATAGTGGTGCTCCGGTCTCCGTTTATAACCAGAAGATTACTAATTTCAGGAAATGAAAATTTTACTTTTCCATACCTGGGGTAGAGAAAATCCAACAAATAACACAGATAAGACTTTCCCTCACTGTTGGTTCTCCATTAAATGAAAAACGGTTAAACTTTTAAAATAGTAACATTGTTCCCCTAACCAGTCGGGGACGTCTTCTTCTTCAGTAGACTTAGTTGGACTACCAGAAACGTAGTTGAGTGTATCTCAGAGTTTGTTCTCCGGGCCGTCTGCATTAGTCCTCCAGAGATGCTCACTTCAAATGCAGATTTCCTGGTCGTGGCCTTTTATGTTTGTTTAGTTCTTATCTCCTAGGAGGTTACATGATCTTCATTTACATGTGGGTGTAGTACAAAAACACACAGTCATGTGTCATTTAACAGCAGGGATACATTCCGAGAAATGAATCAGTGGGCGATTCTGTCACTGAACAGACATCACAGAGTTACTTACACCTAGTCTACACGGCGTAGCAGCCTGTTGCTCCTAAACTGCAAACCTGCACAGCATGTTAGTGCCGATGGCTGTAAGCCGCTGTAACACCGTGTGACTTGTATATCTAATCATTATCTAAACAGAGAAGAGCTACTGTAAAAATACGGTATAATCTTATGGGACCACTGTCATATATGTGGTCCCTTATTGACCAAAAAGTCGTTATGCACATGACTGTATTTGGTCTTTGTCGCCAGTTCCTGGCACAGAACTCCTAAAACTCTTGAAATTTACTGAGCAATAGGTGTCTCTTGTGATACAAAAAAAGACCCTCTTTTGGGGGGGGGGGTGTAGATAGCCTCAGGATGGGGCTGTCCCCAGAAAGACCAAGTCGTTAGACCTCCAGACCCAGCAACCTCCAGGAAGAGGGGGAGGCTGGGGATGGAGGTCTATAAAATAAACTCCGCAGCAAGAACAGCAGAACAACCACCAGGATGAGCACAACAACAACAGCGAGAAGACGCTCCGAGGAGAAAACAAAGAACCGCACGACACCCCCCCCCTCACCACACAACGCCCCCCCCGGCCGGATGATGAGGAGTGGAGCAAAAAAAACCAGAAGAGACGAAAAAAGCCTCCTGAGTTTCCAGATTATTGAAACCGAAGGGGGCAGGGTGGGTGTGAGCGGCCTCCAGCTTCGTAGCCACGTTGCGCAGAAGTGACGGTACCCTGTGGACCCAGTGCTTGGGGCTGGCGTCTGGAGTGCGGGCAGTCTTGGGGACTGAGTCCTTAAAACTGGGGTCTGATGCTAACTGGGGAGTTGGCGCCAGCACTGGCGCCCCCCAGTGGGGCCCAGAGAATCAGAGCCGGCTGTTGGTGTCGGGAAGCATCCTACCGATGGAACTAACAATGAAGTTCACGTTCAGCATGGTGTCTGAGTTTACACGTGCCTCGGTATGAGAGAGGAAACGTTAGTGCAAGACACAAGGAAATCACAATTTTGCATAAAAGAATTTATTTAGTGGCCAGATCCCCATGAAGAATGTCAGTCATTGCTTGGTTCTGCTAAAATGTGCTATTAGATTTAAGAAAGTGTATGATTGCATCACCAAAAGCTGTTTCATTTGGATTGTGCAGAGTAAAAGAAAACTTCATAAATCTTTGTTCTTTCATAAAATCTTTAAAATATAAAAATGAAAAAAGAAACCCAAAAGCAGTATTCAAAACTAATAAATGTCACTTTAGACTATTTACAATAAGATGCCTGTTTAATAGGAGAATACGCTCAGCTTGATCCTTTTCCTCACATTTAAACCTTCCAGGTGTTTCCGCTCCGCCATCTGACCCCTGGCCGTGATTTCTTCAGTCCTGTCTCCCGTGAAACCGCCACCTTCCAATCTGTCTCCCTCATCTTTGAGTCTCTCTGACACTCCTTTGTCCTACTCTTGAATTATCAATGATGCTGTTCAACAGATGTTTACTGAGCACCTAGTATGTGCCGGGCACTGTGCTAGGAGGTGGGGCTAAATACAGACACGAAAAGACATTGACCCCTCCCTCAAGAAGCTCAGACTTTGGGTTGAATTAAAAAATGTTTTTCACATTATAGTCCCTGAAATCCCAGGCCTCCATGAAGTCGATTTGGGAATTTCTGGAGACAAAGTGCACTCACGGAGGGTCTGTCACCTGGGCTCCGACACATTTTGAATTTGGAATTCTGCTCTTTGTCATGGAGCACAGCTTGAGAAGCCCACACCTACCGCCTGAGCTCTGCACGCCCAGCAGGTGGGGCAGTAGGGACCACCTTCATCGATTCGGTTTTTGGGAAGGGTATTCTACAAGTTCCAAATTTGAAAAACCCTCAATCAAAACCAAAAAACCTAAATTTGGGCAATAGATAAATGTTACAAAAGTCTCCCTTGAGTTGAACTTTGAACCGGATGCTCTAAAACTCTTTTCTTTCATAAAGACGCAGCAGGAGCTCTTTTTATTACCTGCACGCATTCCTGTTCCTTTGTTCTCTTCTGTGAATGCTTTCTTAGCCTCACACAGAAAAGCAGCAAAATCAGCCTGCAGGTGACCTGCCCCCACCCCGGCCCGCCCCGATCACGCTGAACCCAGAGCAAGCTCAGCCCTCGCATTTGTTCTGTGTCATCTTTGTCCATGAGGCCTAGAGAGACCCACGGGATTATGGTTACTTCAAGGAAAAAAAAAAAGGTAAACCATGAAATACAAAACAAAAACTGTACATGGCATAGTACGGAGGCAAAAACGAAACCATACCCTGCGGTCCCCATCTTGTTCCATGCCTGGCAGACAATGGCCCTGCAAGCGTTCACAGTTGGGAATCTTTCACAGCCGCAGCGAATCGAGTCCGAATCCTGGTGGTGGGCCTCACCCGCGCAATCCAGCACGTTCCTTTCCTGGGAGCCACACAGCTGACCGGCGCTGAAGGAGCTTTCGCGGGAAAGTTCGGTCCTGCCTTTGCACAGGCTGCACAGGGTCACGTCGCAAAACGGTTGCCATCCCATTAGGTGATGCGCCACCATCCCTCCACGAATGTTAGCGCCAGATGCAGACACCCCCACAGGCTGGCTCCAAGCCCTTCGGGCCTGGAGGCGACTTCGGGAGTGGCCTTCTTCCCATGTGGCGTGTGGCCCGCCCTGCTCTGTGGGCCCGGCCATCACGGCGTTTGCGAAGTCGAGGGAACGAGCAGAGCAGGGAGGACCGGCAGAGGGAGGGAAAAGGGAGGCTCATGCACAAGCTGCTTGCTCCGTCCTGCGTGCAGTTTCGGTGTGACAGTGTGACAGCCCGTGTTCCACACGTGAGGGCTTGTGCTTTCTCACTACAGAAATAACACGCCCTGAAAAGCTCGTTTGGCAAACGTGGCCGTGAACGTGCGTGTGTGAGATGGTCATGAGGTCACATGTCAGGCCCTGTGAGCGTGTCCCCTCGCCCGTCCCCCACCCTCACACCCACCTCACCGCGAGGACAAACCGACGGGTTACACCTGGTCGGTCTGATACTCGGAGGCTTCCGACAGGCTTTCCGAGAAGCTTAGGAAGTTCTCCTGGTACTCAGAGCAGACGATCTCGTAGCGGTAGTGGCGGAACTCCACGGCGAAGGTGCCGAAGTAGGACAGGAAGCACATGACCAGGCCCCACTGCACCCGGGCCGCGTACATGTGGACGTTCTGCGCCATGAGGATGAAGTCTGGGGAGAAGCCGTCAAGGAAACCGCCCTCGTCAGCCACGTGAAGACTAGACTCTTTCCTGGGCAGGGACAGGTCACAGAACCTGGCTCCCCCCCACCGGCAGAACCGGTGGCTCAGTAGAGCTTGCGGAACATGCAGACCGACACGAATAGTAATATTTAACACCACTGAGCGCTTTGTGCCAGACATGCTTTTTGGTGCTTTCGCAGATAATATCACTTCATGCTCACAGTAATCCTGTTATCATCATCAGTTCATTTAAAAATAGGGAAACTGAGGCCAAATGGATAGCTTGCCTGAGGTTACACAGATACGAATTGGTGGAGCTGGGATTCAAGCAAGCATCTGATCCCGGGCCACGCGCTCAACTGCTACACTCCACAGCTGCCTGGTAAACTGTGAGACTAGCGAGAGGATCACAGCTCCAAAGTAATGAGCTGGCCAGAAAAATAAAGCTATCTTTTTAAAAGTCACTGCAAATGACCAAGAATTCGTAGTTATCATATCTGTGGAAATAATTTTGAACACATCAGATTGCTAACGACCCCTATATAAGCTGTGGGTGGATCTGCAGTGCTACTAATAATGTCTGAGTGGCCCCTCTTCTTCTTCTAATTTTCACTATTGTCCTTCATACAATACTGTATAGCCTAGTTTCATTCCTGGTATCACATATCAACTTGGGCCCAAATGAAAATATGCAATTAATAAAACAAGAAAGAAACAGATGAGACCGGGCACAGTGGCTCACACCTGTAATCCTAACACTTCGGGAGGCTGAGGAGAATTGCTTGAGGTTAGGAGTTCAAGACCAGCCTGGGTAACAGCAGAGACCCTGTTTCTACAAAAAATAAAAAAATGAGCTGGGCATGGTGGCGCATGCCTGTAGTCCCAGCTACTCGGGAGGCTGAGGCAGGAGGATCACCTGAGCACAGGAGTTTGAGGTTGCTGTGAGCGACGATGAGTCCAGTGCGCTCTAGCCCAGGCAGGAGACCAAGACCCTATCTCAAAAAATATATATTTATAAAATACAAAAAATAAGAAACAGATGAGACTCCTGTGCCTAAATATATATGGAGTCTGTGTGTGTGTGTGTGTGTGTGTGTGTGTGTGTGCGCGCGCGCGTATACACACAACAGAATAAATGGAGGTAGGACCTGAGAAGGAGAAGGCTGAAAAGCCCACAGCATGCCAAGGGGCTGAGCACTAAACACATTTATTTAGGAAAAAATCGGAAATCTCCGCTTAGAATTAGTCCTATCTTCTGAACTTAGATCTAAAATCTTGGGACATTTTCAGAGAGCAGAGTATGTGAAACTGTATCAGCCAAACTTTGCTCTCCCAACTGGGCCTTGACTCATTCACCTGGGAACCAAGAAATGGTTCCAAGTGTTCAGAAAAAACATAGATCAGAATCACTTGGTGAAAGCTCAAAACTTAGAATAATTTAAAGTCTGTGCATACTCTTCTGACCGAGGATTCAAAATGTTGCCAAAGCAATATTAACTTATTTCTTAAGTGAATGGGGAAGGCATAAATCCTCAGATCTCATATTGGCAGTTTGGATCTTTCTCATCATAAAGTATTTTATCAGGTCGCTAGCAAGAAGGCAAGGTTTTTGGCTCGGATTTTAAGTCTTTAAATGTTCTCTATCTAATGTGACTATAGAGCTTCAGAAAACCAGTAGAATGACTGAGTGGCAGTTTGCGAGGAAAGAAGAAATGAAAGACTCCAAATGCGCCACTAACTTGAGAACGTCTCTGAACGCTAAACGTTTTCATATTTTAAAGCTCCTTCTCCAAGGCGGGACGCTGCAGTGGCTAAGAGTGCAAGAGCCGAGCTTGAGTTTCAATCTCGATCCATCACATACTGTGTGATCTTGGGCAAATTAACCTCTCTGTGATTCACTATTCTTATCTGTTAAGTGACGATGAAAAGAGTTGATGCATATAAAAGAGCTTAGAATAATACCTAGCACATGGTACAGTGTCCAATAAACATTAGCAATTACTAGGATTGAAGATGCGTGATGATGTTAGTCGCCACACATTTCTACTGTCTCCGGAACCTTGATTCCCTTCTCTGGTTTCCTGAGGAAGAGGAGGACCTATTGGCGTGAACACTTCCGGTTACTCCGCTCCATGGAATGAGAGACTGATCTGATTGGTGGGAATCGGAATCGGCAGGCCTCTATTGGGCCACGCTACCAGTAGGCGGGGCCACTGTGCTACGCTTCCGGACTAGTTGCTCTGGGATCTGTTCGCGGTTAAGCGAATGAGGCCACTTCCCTCCCTTCCCCGGGTTTCTCTGCGCGTTACTGGGGAGGTAAGTCGAATTCCAGGGTGTGAGAGACGAGGCCTGTGGCGTGCTCCCTTCCAGGTTTACTAGGAATAAATGCTGATTTCTTCATCTCTGTCTGGCCCGTTGTGTCTGTTCTCAATTGCTTCAAACTCCGCGGGGAGGAAGGGACATGAATATAGTTCCCCAAACCTCAGGTATTCGTTTAGGAAAACGACACGTGCGGCGGTAATCTCATTCTTGAATTTGTTTTTGTTTTCCGGAAAAGCTGTTATTTTAAGATGTAAATGTAGTTTTCCCTTGAAATTCATTTTAGAGCTAGTAAATTAAATGAGACAACAGGGCCAGCAACAAAGTCACAAATGAATTTTTTGAAGGTGGAGAAAAAAGTGGCAATTCTCTTTTGGTTGTGCATTCTGTGTTTTTCCCAAAGGGAACCCTTAACGTCCTTAGCGATAAGGAGAGTCCATGACGCCGTTCCTACAGGTTGAAACGATCGTGAGGGCAGAGCTTGTTTTATTTCTCCATCTCCTCTTTGACAGGAAAAATTGGTCTGAGAGTATTTGTTTCTGTACCCTTTACTTCTCTGTTTTGTCTTAAGAGGCTGAGATGATCTGTCAGAATATCCTAAGTCCCTGGGAGTGGCAATTATCTCATCTTCTACCGAGACAGCTTATTTTTATTTATTTCTTTTTTTGAAGCAGGGTCTCTTTCCATTGCCCGGGCTAGAGTGCAGTGGCATCAACATAGCTCAGTGCAACCTCATACTCCCGGGTTCAAGCGATCCTCCTGCCCCAGCCTCCCCAGTAGCTGGGACTACAGGGGCATGCCACCACGCCTGGCTAATTAAAAAAATTTTTTGTAGAGATGGGTTGCTCAGGCTGATCTCAAACTCCCGGCCTCAAGCTATACTATTGCACCTCAGCCTCATCCACGTTGGGGATTACAGGCTTGAGCCACCTTGCCCAGCCAATTTCTTTGTTTAATCTCACTAGTAAAGAACCTTTTCACGTTCCAAGGATACAGAGGACCACACAGAGAGTGATAGATGCTGACAGAATAACTCGCGGAATTCCAACTTTCCGTCCTTCATTCTTGATGTTGACTTTCAGTGTCAGTGCAGCCTGGATCCAGCAGGTCAACGTGCCAAACCCAAAGGTCAAGGAAGTTCCGACGTTATGGATTTCCTCATCGTTAGTGAGCTAAGGGATGAACAGATAATGAGGTGTGGAGGCTCACTGAGGAAAGGAGACATGCAACCTGATGGAATATGTGAGGGGGGAAAGACAGGAAACGAGATATCCCAACAGTGGGATGATGGATTTTAGAAACATTAGAGTCCTTCATCTCCACTGGCTCTTTGTGTCTGTTTTCAAATGTTCAAGCTCTGAGGGGAGGAAGGGAAATAAACAGTATCCCCAAACCGTAAAATCATGTGTTTAGACAAACCATGCAGGCAGAGGTAATCTATTCCCTGTGTTTATTTTCCAGAAAAGCTTGGTCGGGAAAGCAAAAGAAAAAAGCAGGAGAGTTACACAAAAAAAGGGGAAATGTTACTACAAGCATATCTCCCAGCTTTGTTTTCTAGGCTAAGAAAATGAGACCGAGGATCTGGCTGTGTTTTCACTGACCGAGGATGGCCGGTTCTAGGCCGGTCAAAATTTAATTGGCATAGACGACTAATACCCCTTGGGTTGTTCTTTACTCTTACAGAACTGGCCTATGTAATGTGACCAATTCATTGTTAATGAGAATTTTTTTGGTTTTGTTTTCCTACAGGAATAAGAAAAACTGACACCTGTAAGCTTTTGCCATACCGTGAGATCCATTCAAGCCGCAGTCCCCAACCCTTGGCGGGGCTGTTGGGAACCGGGCCACACAGCAGGTGAGCAGCCCTTGGGCCAGGGAACCTTCATCTGCATTTACAGCTGCTCCCCCTCCCCACCTGCGCTCCGCCCCGTCAGACCAGCAGCGCATTCGATTCTCATAGGAGTGCGAACCCTCGTGCTTCCGGGATCTAGGCTGCCCAATCCTTATGAGAATCTAACACCTGATGATCCAAGGTGGAGCTGAGGCGGTGATGCTAGCGCTGGGGAGCGGCTGCAAATACAGATCATCATTGGCAGAGAGGTCTGACTGCATGGAGACCGTAATAAATCAATTGCTTACAGATTTGTATCAAAACCCTATCAGTGAGTGGCAAGTGACAATGTAGTAACAATAGAAATAAAGTCACAATAAATGTAATGTGCTCGAATCATCCAGAAACCATTTCCTCCCACCCCATCCCAGTCCGTGGATAAATTGTCATCCGTGAAACCAGTCCCTGGTGCCAAAAAGGTTGGGACCCTCTTCATTAAAGGATGACAGTATTCGAAGATTCATACTAATGATTTTTATAGAGTAAAGAGGTCAAAGGAGACCCATCTGGGTTATTTTAGCTGGGCATTAGAGACGTAAACTCTCTAAATCATTACCCATTGATATTTAAAAATATATCTGTCACTTAAAACTCCTTTTGTATTTACATACATTTTTAATTGCACATATAGGAAAATGAAATCTACTGTTGAAGAGAGAGATGGCTTTTTAAACCATGGTAAAAATATTATTTCTTTGAACTGTCATTACTTTCAGATGTTTTGTTGTTCAACGTTGTTGTAAACAATGGTTGCATCTAATCAATATCATTTTTCTGTTACAATTTTTCCTACTGTTTTTGGCTGTAGGAGTTTTTCCTCTTTTTTGGAAAAAGCCATTTGTTCCCTCACAGTTCAGAAGACATATTTTCAAAATTTATTTAAAATAACAATCCCTAAAATCAAATTTCACTTCTAGAAAACTGACTTTCCATGCTGTATACAATTTCTTCACTCATTATTTATAATTTTTAAACCTAATTTTAAAAATAGATAAGATAGCTACATGGTTCAAACTTTTAAAAATTATAAAAGGGGGATTTGATTGAAAAGTCTGTCTCCCATCCCACATATCATACTCTCCACCTGGTTTCTGCACAGGCACGAATTTGTTATTTGTTTCTTATGTGTTCTCTGTAGATATTCCAGCAAGTGTTTTTCACAGTAGTGTCATTATTCATGGTTTTGAATATCTGTGGTTCATCAAAACCACCCAATCTCTGGGATTCTTCTAGGACTTTACTAAAGAACAAAATGTGTACTTAGTAACTCATCAAAGCCCTGGTTGAGAGAAATGGTAGTTACTGAGCACTTTACAACACGCGGCACAGCCAGGCGAGTGGGGAAGAGATTCCCACCAAAATCGCAATAAAAAATGCCCCGTGCCCTAACACTTGGGAGCTTAACAGGATAAACTCTCGAATATTTTCCTGGTAATTCACTGCCATAGCCAATATGTTCTAAGAATGCAGCTTTTTGGTTGTCCAGCTTGATACGGATGAGAGCTAGAATAGTTAGAGGAATGGGTGGGATGGCCTATTTGTCAAGCAACTCACTGAGCAAAAATTACTTATTGAGTCGCTACTATGTGCTTAATGAATTAGCAGTCCTAGGTTTAGTAAATTAGCAAGACTGAGGGGTAGGACAAGAGACAGCCTTAGAAAACCCACTGCCATCTCTTTGGTAAGAATGTCACTAAATGCTCACTAGAATGCTGAGGGTGGGCCTTGAACGCCTATGCCATTTGGATGTCATTCAACAAATGGGGGGAGGAGTGTCAGGATCAGTGTTTGCCCACATGGAAGAAGCTGTCAACAGCTGTCAATATATACAGCACAGGTTGGAGGATGGTGGGGAAGGCAGGCAGGCAGGGAAACCAGTCAATATAACAGTGCAGGAGGTCTCCATGTCTATTTGACAAATAAAGTCATTCAGGTCAAGTGTTGGGTGACGGTATTGGCCAAGGAAACTATTCTTACAGGTCGTGACCTCGGGCTCGCAAATTTCTAGGAAGAAGGGTTAGAGTTAATATATCTTTATACAAGTCATAGGTGTTCTAGAGAAATTCTGGGCTTTC